TGGAGGTGCCCCGATGAATACTGCGAGGTGCTGTTTAATCCTGGAAATTGAAGGAAGACTGCCCGTGATTCTACTCGTTTAATGTTATGTCTATTATTCATTGAAATGCTCATTCGTTCAGGGACGGAACTGCATCTATTCTGAACTGACCATGAGGATGACCATGAGATCGCGCGGATCACAAAAATTGCAAGTGGCCCATTTGAACAATTGAAACACTGAATATGAAGCAAGTGGAAGAGAACACCTTGCAGTATTGAATGAGGCACTTGAGATTTCCGTGACCGTCGCGCAAATCGCGAAAATCGCGCAAAAAATCGCGGACTCTGACACCAGCCTTACATGGTTTTGCACGAGCACATAACGAATATAATTCGTTATAATAGCATTTCAATCTGTTGAAAGGATCAAGTCCTAGAGCACGTTCCAGAAGTATGGCGCCACCCCTAAAAACTGCTGCTTCCGATTTAGAAAGATTCTGGCTTGCTACCTACATTACTACTTTGCTTTTACCTAATTCAGCATGCTCGGAAACCCACTTGATTTCAGACCGCATAACCAACACATATTTACTTAAATAAAATGACGCACTACTTATTCTAGTGGAAGAACAAGTCACAATTGAATTTGAGCAAGTGCTGATTTATCCTGATCTACAAATGAAGGTTACAAATGATGAAGTCACTGCCTGCATACCTCATACTTGCTTTTGTCCGTGAAAAGCTGGCTGTCAAGGCGATACTCTGTTTCGTGAGCAAGTTGAGCATGTTCCAACAGTTCCTCTTGACTCTAAGCTATCAAAATATTGCTTGTTCGAATGCAAGGATAGACATTAAATCTGATGCGTACCTTCACATCCTCCAAACAGATCGGACATATCAGTAATCCTTCATGAAACTCTGCGATATAATGCTTGTCATGAATGTGACATGTCAACGCACGTTTCGAGGAGTACGATATATCGCATTCTTTACATTTGTAAACAGTCGAGGCTTTCGACAATATCCTCATCTCCCTTTTTGCCTTTTTAACTTTTTCAATATCCTCCTGCCTGTATCCATGCTTGTAGAACAGATGTCGATATAAATGCTTCCCACTGCTGCCTTGAAAGTCAGGACAGAAATCGCACATATTTACCTTTCAGTGATTAAGATCTAAACAAGAATCTTGGTAGTAGTTCCGCCATCGCATGAGAGAAAAAAACGCAACATATTAGTAGGCTACGCTCGAGCCGGGGTGTGGTCCACTAGGACATAAAGCGACTTTCGCGTTTCGCAGCGCGAAACATTTTCGCTGCGGGAACCTCGGGTCCACTGATTTTTCGCTGCGGGAACCTCGGGTCCACTGATGATCAGCGGTGGACCTGAGGTTCCCGCAGCGAAAAATGTTTCGCGCTGCGAAACGCGAAAAATTCGCTTTCTGTCCTAATGAACCACACCCTTCGAGCTGTGAGAATGCTCAGCTATGACACTTTGTTGGTATATTTGCCCAAATACAGGCCTTACCGGAGTGACGAACGTAAAATAAAGAGCCGTAAGCCAAATAATGCGGCTTCCTTCCCACACGCTATCCTTACGTTCTACTACACAAATGTAATCTTTTCTGAATTTCCTAATCTCCCTATCTCCGTCTTTCTGATTCTCCCGTTCAATACACAACTTCCTTATTTACTCTTAATATCAACCACAAAAAGTTGTGTGAACGTACCCTAGGGCTGTGGTCATGGTTAGCAACTAGCGAATTTTCGTAAAGTAAATACAATATGTATCGATCGCGCGGTAGCAGAACCGCATGGTCGATATCGACTCCACAATCGAACTCCAGATCGCAAAACTGCCGTAAAGTACGGTCGTGGCCTAAATCATCCAAGTATGGTCGCAGCCGGGCTTACCAGGAAGGTCTTTCAGGGCGTGACAAGCTTTTTGAAAACGGTCTTTTGCATGATATAGGGGCAGATGCGGGACCACAGAACCATGTTTAATTTTTCCTGAACGGCCCTCTGAATACCAGAAAAGGGGTCCCTAGTTCGATTCCTCTTGGTGACAAATTTTTGCATTTCGAGTTGACGTTCCAAAATTCGCGCAAAATGGAGTTCTGATTGTTCTGGTTGGTTCTAACTCCATTTTGCGCGAATTTTGGCACGTCAACTCGAAATGCAAAAATTTGTTACCACGAGGAATCGAACTAGGGACCCCTTTTCTGGTATTCAGAGGGCCGTTCAGGAAAAATTAAACATGGTTCTGTGGTTCCCGCATCTGCCCCTATATCATGCAAAAGACCGTTTTCAAAAAGCTCGTCACGCCCTGAAAGACCTTCCTGGTAAGTGGTTTGGGGGGGGGCGCCACGCGGCGGCGCGGCAGTCTGCTCGCCTGGCATGTTCGGAAATCCGTGGGCCAGGGGGAGTGTAGGCAGTCTAGGGGGTGGGGGGGCAGTCACTTGACATGCGTGAAAAGCTGGAATGTTCGAGTTTACACTGTCTCGCTCGAGAGAGCCCAGGTGAGCAGACTGCCGCGCCGCCGCGTGGTCCCCCCCCCCCCCACTTAGCAGCCTAACAATAAGTCATTCCCAAACGCGGGTCACTGATTTATTTGGGGTGAAACCAAAGTTGCTACGTATCATGGAGCTTCCTTCCTTTCGGAAAAATTGGATGGCACTTAGTTGGGGTAGGGGGTAGAGACCACGCGGCGATGCGGCGCTTTGTCTGGCTTTCTTTGCAAGGCTTACTTCCTCCCGCCCTGCCTACGTTTTAAACTGCTATGATGCGGCGAAATAGTAACGGTCGCTGTGACTACGCCTCAGAGTTGCAGACGAGTAGAGCGTCGCGATGCCGCGTGGTCCCCGCCCCAACTAGGTTAGTATCAAATGGATTACTTCGGTCCTTATGAACTTTCGCACCACAAGCCCCCCCCGCCACTCTTACTGGAAAATGCACCCAAAACCAATCCTACTCCATATCAAAGCCAATCTTACGATTTTCACTTCTCGCAGAACGCTGAAAAGGTTGACAGCATCTCGGAAGAAATAGAAAGCTGGAGATTAAGAAGCTACCTCAAAAAATGATGGAGAGTTAGTACGAAGAGCCAGGAAAGAAACGAGATCACAAAAGAGGCGTGATTTGTAATGTGACTTACATACTTCGGTAGACTGCGGCCGACGACACTTGATTGACGCTCTTTCATACGGTGTCAAAAATGTTGTAGCGTCGTATCCAACTAAGTATGTAATGATGGTTCTTTTATCTTTGCCTTTTTTCTGAAGGAGCCGACGGCTTCCTGAACGATTTGCCCATATATGGCCATATATACCTCCTATAACCTAGAGTTGATGCGATTTCTAAGTGGAAGTTTGTTTACTGAGAAGTTGTGGGACATGGTCGCGAAAATTATGTTCAATTTGGCTACAGTGCCACTTGACGCCCTGTATTTCAACACTGGATTCACCGAATACTTGCATAATTTTCCCTAGGGAGTTTATTCAGTGCTGCTCTGTCTCGAACATAATACCGGCGATAAATACGAATGCCATATCCATGATCAGAAAACTGAATAGCTCTCGAGGGAAACGAATTTTCAGTAGAATTCTATTTCAGCTGAGCTCTTGTGTTAGTTCTTAGGTCTATTCCAGTTAGGGGGCATCATGATGCAGTTTCTCGGCGAACTAGTGTGAACTCGAACATTCCAGCTTTTCACGCATGTCAAGTGACTGCCTCACCCCCCACCCCCTAGACTGGCTACACTCCCCTGGCTCGGAGTTACCTTAGCTTTCAGGAAAACTGCATCATGATGCCCCCCCCCCTAACAGGAATACCCTAGTTCTGTAATGTCCACTATTTTTAGACAAGAATTATGAAAGAAAATCGAATGTTTGTTCACACTAGGATACACCAGCTGCAAGTGTAAAATCTATGCGTTTCTAAACATTCATTAGTTTCCAAGCTTCGGTAGGTGGCGGATTTTCACCGTGCTTTGCGAAGTCCAGTTCCTCCAACTGCGAATTTTCGCTCAAATCGCGTCTCTTGCTCCGATGCTAAAACACGACGCCAGTGCGTTTCCAGCCAACAAAAACTTTTATAATTACAAGAAGTCGTACGTGCTGGCTAAACGTTTTGCATGAAGATGCCAATGGCAATAAGTCAGTTTTCTTCCCATCAGACTCATGCTTCAAGAGCGTGGAGTCTTTTGAGATTCATGTAAATGGAGGATGTCGAGATGTGCTCCAGTTTTGAAGCCCCTTCCCGAATTTCACCTTTCCAGTTGATGAATTTTGCTGTTAAGTGTTTTCTTCGGTCGTTTATAAATATGGTAATCGTGTCTCTCTGTTTGATCTTCCTTAACTGTTGTTGATACACTTTTGCTTGACTTACTACCTACAGTCATTCAGGTGTTGAGCCTTACCTATGGCGGCCGGCAATGTAATTCCGGAAAACTATCAGACGCTGACACCGATTCTGAAGACACCTGTCTCTGATATATTTCAGATTCCGCTCTCGCAACAAGGTGGGGATGTTTGGGACTTTTTCATTGTTAGCTTTTTTCCGTTAGATGCTAAATATTGGGGAACAGAAGTGGCGTAATCATAGCTCGAGAGTGAATGAACAACGTTTCTCCTTGCTGCAGCGCACTTGCACTGATCGTTCCCGTGGTTTCTGCTATAAACAGAATATGTAAGAGCGGAGGTTGGACGTAAAAATTCGGGGGACTTTGAGGCCCGAAAGGAGGTGTTGTGGTTGGATGTTAAGTCTTATATAATGACTTATGAACTTCACTCGGTGCTAAGTGGGCTAGGGGCAGGGTGAATAACGGTCGAGGAAATCCTCGACAGGGGGTCGTATTTGCTCCGATGAGAGTTGGGAGGGGGTCGTAATCAAAAGGTTCATCAACGGACACAACGGTGCTGCTGCCACTTATTTGCTGTCATCATTAGTTTCACAAGTGTTGTACTTAGCCTAATGCAAATAACATCTTACAAGTGGTTGTTGGTTTGGTTCGTAGTGATCAGTATGGCATAGGAAGGCAACGCGTCCTGCAAAAGAATCGTAGGGAAAGGGCAGCGAGTATCTACTCTAGAATGATGCACATGCTTCGAGAACTTAGTGGAGGAACAGCATCTTGGTAGAAAGTTCAAAACAGGCAGATTCGCAGCCTTCTTGGCATCATCAGATCCTGCAACCGCAAGCTGTCATTCATCAGAACGGGTTGGAAAGGAAGCGATTTGAATAAAGGAATGATCAGACATCACTATGACCACAAGAGTTATCCTAATTAGTTAATACTGGAAATATCTTTTGGTGTGCTTAAGCAAGTCGTCACTAGGACAAAACACCTTCCCAATGACTCCGAGTGGGGTCACTGCATGGCGCATACAAGAACGGAATGGATCCGCGCCAAGTGCATCATTTTCAATTTACTCCATCGAACTGACGCGTACAGAAGTATTTTGAAGGTGTTCAAAGAAGTTCCCTACTACGGCAAGGGAGTAATAGAGTTTTCGAGTGGCTTCGAAAATTTCCTTGACATTTCCTCGACGCAGATTTCTCGCGAACTAGAAAGCGATCGAAACAACTGGAGCACCTATCAGAAAGCGTAAATCTTCTACTTTACAACGCTTTCCTCCGATTTTCAAAGCATTGCCAATGAAGACAGCTACTGCCTTTCAAAGAGTGGGAACTCGCATGTGAATTTCAATTTCCTCGACAATTTCTCGACGTCTTTCCCACTCTCGAGAATAGGCGTGCTTAGAAAAACGCTCAGCACAACTTCGAAACTAGAAGTCTCGTGCATTCAAAAGCTGCCTTCACTTTCTGAAATGGTTATCAATGAAGAAAGTTATAGTCCTTTAAATAGGGGGTACATTTGACGATTTTTCCAACTAGCGCGCTCTAGGCACAGCGCGCGACGCGATCGCGGGTAGTTAGCGCCGCTATACTGGAGCGCGAGACTGTTCAACTGTGTAGGGGCTACCTCCTTCAATGTTCTACTTTCCGGCCAATGTGGCAAAGGTTAAATGTCTTTAAAGGAAAGAAGGAGAACCTAATCTGAGCAGAATTGAATCTAGCATTTGGATCAAGCCGCATTTGCGTGGCAGCGGCGCTGCGTCCCTCTCGCACATCTGAAACTAGCATTTTTTGATATGAAACCGGATGTGCAGAGGACAAAAAGGGGTCGTATCAGAGTCCATGTTTTGGAGGGGGGTCGTAAAGAGGCGGTTATTTCCTCGACACGATTTTCACCCTGGCTAGGGGGACCACGCGGCGGCGAGGCGCTCTGTGTTAGTGTGCTCCTCCAAGGCTTAGTCCAAGGGGCGGTTACTATTTCGTCGCTGTTAGTTATTATTAGTTTATTGATTTCGAAATACGCGTCATCGGTGGACTAAACCTCGGAGGAGCAGACGAACAGAGCGCCGCCGCGTGGTCCCCCCCCCATCCCACTTAGCACCCTTCACTCATATGGATATTTTTAGGCCGTCCATGTGGCTTTTTCGAGGCACAATTCTTTCGTTGTATGGAGGCCTACGGCGCAAAACTTGGCCGCAAATACTGCGATCTAGAACACCGTGACTTTAGGGAATGTATCACCAGTGAAAAGCAGAAAAAGGTTTGTCTTCTCTTTCCAGCTTTTCTCTTGTTCTAAAAATTTGAGTTTAGTCGTGTAAGCAGCTGGTATCGGAATGCACTGGATGCTGTTTCTTAAAACCGCTTTGAATTGCTCACGTTTAGGCCGATGTCAGACTTAGCGAATCTAGCGAACAGCGATTCGCCATCGA